TTCCAGACCATTTCCATCAAACACTCTTTGTTGATATGCAATCATTAAAACAACTAGAACAGGAATGTTTATGATCTAATTTGGCTCATTTTGTATTTCATACTGGATGACTAAATTATCTGGTAAAATTGTGCCTAAAATACTTAATGCAAGGCTGCACATAGGGCAAGTACAAAAACAGGACAGCAGTAAATAGAGATGAGAATTCACAGAGAATATAGGATAAGAACACTGGTTTTAAGTTGTAAGAACAATGAAATTGATGAGAAAGCAGTCAGCAGCACAGCAGAGAGCTGTGGGCACAAGCACCAAAAGTGGCAAAGAAGTGCCATTAAAAATGGGGATTTAGAAATTTGTGTCCCAATTTAAAGTTGGCACAAGCAAAACTAAGAAGGAATATGACAAGGAAGGCTCTGTTTGATAGAGAATAAAAAAGGCATCAAGAAGAGACTTCCATCCATCAGTGCCTCTGTCCTAATACATGAGAGTAGATCTTGCCAAGGGTGAGTGCAAAGTATGAGCAGATGCAGGGGGACTTATTGGCTTTCAGGTGAGAAGTTATAAAATCTTGTTACTCTGATGACTATTTCCCAACAGTTCAGACTATATTTCTTTGTTCTCATCTAGGAAAAATTTACCCCACTTCCAACTGCCTCATCTACAGGCATGAGTGGGTGTCTGAAGGGCTGCACTCATCACATTTCCTCTCAGCTGAGTGGGACAGATTCCCATGGCACTCAAAAAGAAGTTAGACACAGATATCGCTCTAGCACCACAGGAATCAATCCAGGAATAGCAAAAATTTCTGACTCTGGAAGGGATTCAAACTGAAATTATTCTAACAGTTGATAAGATGTATATCTGAGGCCCCTGAGTACAGTAGAGTCACTGTGAAGTTTTACATTTCAGCCTCCTGGATATGTCCTATGCCCTACCTAAAAGACTTAAATATATCCAGAAAATTATTTTATTGCAAAAATTATTGTTATCACAAGTTTTTGAGAACTACTGCCTTTTAAATTGTTCTTTAAAGGGATAAAGATGGAACCAAGATTTTTACCCAAAGAAAGAAATGGTTTATGAATGTCCCACCTACAAAGCATGGTAATGTGTCTGCTCTTGTTATCCTGCCATGAACATGGACTTGTGATTTCTCTCTGCATTTTTAACACAGCTCATGGTTTATTAGTTTAGTTTACTTTAGTTTAGTTCCGTTTCGTTTAGTTTAGTTTAGAAAATAGATTTTTGTGGTTGCAGCCTGCACCATTAAGTATTGGAGAGCCCTGATAAAACTGAAAAAAGAAGTGTTCTAAACTTTCTTTCTGGCTTAGACATCAGCGGTGTCATGTCCCTGGCTCTGAAAATTGTCTGGCAACAGAAGGATGATGCATGCACAGAGGTTCATTCCCTGGGGTACACCAGAGAAGCTTATGAGTTAGCCCCCACAAGAATTACTATTTTTAATACTAGAAGTGTATGCTTTGGTGACAGGTCATTACTTCTGCCAGCGCTGCTGTACTGAAATCTAATTTGTTGCTGTAGGGAATATTGTCACAGCAAAAGTGGGATCATAAGAGGTAAATACTTTATGCTTTGTTCAGTGGCATTTCATGTTGACTTGTAAGGTCTGAGTTTCATGTGTTTTCCCACTGATTAAGGAAAAAACTCTTCCCTAGCTGATGCTTACTTTTCGGAAGCAATTTAAAAACAGGTATTTTGTGGCCACTTTTTTGGTGGTATGAAGGATGGATACAAAGATGACAGAGTCAAACTCTTCTGTCAGAGAACCATTCTTCTGTCAGAATGAACAAGGAAAAATGACCACTGAGTGCCATCTCAGAAATTTGACTGTTGCTGTGCCATTTAAACTTTTGGCACAAGAACACTGGCTTTCACAACCTGTTGTTCAAAGGAGCAGGTTATGATCTATATGTAGGAAAATATTGCCTTATTCCCTCTGAATGAATTAAATTCTTCTTAAATTGAAAGGGGATCTGAGTAATGATGTTTTAATCACTGAAAAAGAAAGGACAATACTGAGTGCCTAAACTTACTTACAATTTTTATAGGTATTGCCTGTGTTTTAGATAAATACAGGCTACTTTATATTTTATGTGCCTCACTAGGCAAAATTTCAACAGTAGAATATGGAAGAATCATCCATGGTATAAGCAGATACCACTAGACTGAAGACACTGGAGAGCCTGCATGAGTTTTGCCTGGAAAGTCTTCATGACATAAAATTCCCATTTGCAGAGAAATTTTCTGTGGAATTGCAGTTTCCTGGAGGCTTCCTATTAGCACCAGGTCAATGACTAATTTTAAATTACTTTTTTTTTTCAGGACCAGTTCAGCTGTGGTTTTGCCTAGCCAAATCTTACAGTCTAGTCTCCTCTCTTTTCCTGAAAAAAAAGGACTTTAACCAGGGTTGAAATCTGTGCTACTGTACTAAAATTTAATTAATTTTAAAGACACAGGGAGACCACAGGCACATACAGAGAGTCAAGGTGACTGCATATCTCATCATTCCTTAGCACCATATCCTTGGAAATTGATTTGATCTCATATCAACATGGTTAAAAAATAAAGTTCTTTCTTGATCTCCAAAAGCAACATCTGAACTGAATGATCTAGATTTCTAAATGCACAGACTCTCTTATTTATGTCAAGTAAGGGAAGGCAGGGCATATAATAAGTGTGTGTCAGTCAGCTGAGTCTAATGTAGCTGGTCTTTGTGGCTGGCATTAAAAAAAAAGTGTTAACATTGTTTTTTCTCCACACAATCAATGCAAAATAGGAATAGTGACACCCAGGGGTAGCCATGACTCCTATTACCTTCTCTCACAGCCTCTTCTCTACACACACATATCTCCTTGGTCATTTTGTTCTTTCTCTGCACTCAAAATCCCTCACTGCTGAAGGCTGTGGTGTATTATCGAGGTCTGGAATTGTCTCATGTTGGTCAGGACAGTGTATTCCACAATTTTCATACCTTTCTATTAAATATCCATGACTTGCAACATTCTGGAGTCCTATGTGAGAGCCAGTGGACTGGGTGCATGGAGTGAGCCTAATTGCACAGAATGGAACAAATACGATTGAGAGCTGTAAAGCTGAGCTGGGCACTGTTTGGGAGGTTAATAGAGAGGAGGAGCTCAGCCTGACAAAGGAGCCCACTGGCCTGGCTGACTCGAGCTGAAGGACTGCACATGATTGCACACAGTGGAACAAATTTCATTACAAGCCTCCACTAAAAGCTTAGTGGAATGGGTCAAGTTCACAAGAATAATTTGGTTACTACAAAAACATATCCATGACAATTGACACTTTTTATGTAATCATAGTATTTCTGTCCTTTAAAGTCCCAGCCCTGCCATGACATAATTGTCCAGGTTCACTCAAGTGCTTACTGTGTTTGACCAAAGCATCTAATTAGATAGACTAATGGCTGACTCTATTCCTACGGTTCCAGCATTCAAAAATTGCTTTCTGTGGGCCACAAGAAATAGTAGAGGAGAAGAAGCCTTTATTTTTAATGAACTGAAGGAATTTGTGATGGATTTGAAAGGCAAATCTGCAATCAAACATGCCCCATTGGTTTTGAGATTAAAATAGTGGAAAATTAAACTCAAATTTGATATATATGTATGTGAGTGTATGTATGTATGTGTATATGTGTATGTCTATATCTCTCTACATAAATGCTTCTTTGCTAATTATTATCTTTTTCTAATGATTTCAATTGGAAAATGAAAGGCTAGGTCAAGTGATGTGAAATTCTTTTGATTCAGATTCCAACATTTCCTTTTCTTCACTTAATAAATGTTCTTTTGACAGGTAAGTGTAATTGCCCTGTGAGTTTCCTCTTTCAGTGACTGCCTAATCAAGAACACACCCTGGTTTATGGAACATAAAGGATCTCAGAATAGCTTATCTTGCAAACCACAGTGGGTTCAGCACTACTGGTAGTTATTTTAAAAAATAATAATAGATAAAAGAGATAAAAGGCAAACCGCTAAATATTATAGTGATGCAGGCTATTTCTTTTGCATTTAAAAACCTTCTTGCAAGCTTTGCTCTGATACAGATTATGTATAAAGCATATTGTCTTGGTAGAATTAAAGGATGACAGGCAGGGAATATTTTCCCCTCAAAATGCCATATTAAACAGAATGAGAAAATTCATCTGAAATTATTTATATAATCATTTCTCATAACACTTAAATTTTCTTAAGAATGCTAATATGCACATTTTACACAATTTTCAATAAAATAAAATAAAATAAAATAAAATAAAATAAAATAAAATAAAATACAAAGAAATCTTGTATCTGTGCAAAAGTTTGTTGTGTATGCACAAACTTGGTGAAAAGCAGTCCCAAAGAGTGAGATTTATAAATTTACATAAATTATCTAATGTGTAATGCACTAATACTTCTGGGAGGCATGGAAATTTAATTATCCCCTTCCACAGAATAAGAGCTGAGGTACTAACCTCAGGTTGGCAAGTGGTTACTATCACGACTAATCATATTAAAATCAATGACAGTAGTTGTGCATGAAACTGCTCACCAAGCTGAATAAAAGATTTCACATTCTGACTTCAAGAGACAAAGTGGTTTGCCCAAGGTCTATAGTCTGGGACTCAAAAACCACTTAATCTTCTCCTTAATTTGTAGCACATGTTTAAGTGTTTTTCTGCAGCAGAAATAAATAGGAAATTATTGATAGAATTTAAGTCTCTCAAGTACTAGGTCATTTCCTTAATCATAAGACCACCTTGACTATATGTGATAAATGTTAACGGGAATTAAGTATGTCCTATGTCTCCATATTTGCTGATTTTTGTTTTTATTTAGAAATCTGACTGCAAGTGCCTAAATCCTAAATGCATCTTATTTTTTATGGGAAGATATCTTGGCTAAAGTATGAAAAGATAGCAGACACAAGGTAGGACATGCAAATCCCTAAAAATGAGAAGATTAAAAGATTGCTCTTACCCCAGCAGCATAATTCATAATCAGGCCTATCTTTGTTAATACTTTGTCATGGTGGGTTCCTCCAGGAAGCTGGCAATACAGCAGGCATCATCCATTTCTTGAAATGCATTCCCTGTACATATCTGGAATTCAGATATGTACATATCATATTTCTTGTAGTTCCAGCAGAAATATTTTTTAGAGTTGCTCTCCTAGAGGCAAAACAGTCTTTGAGAATGGAAGATGTAGAGAAAAACAGTCAAGAACAGTTTCATACAACATGTACAGCTTATTTGTTTATGTGAACCAAAAATGGGATATCTCTTCTTCTACAAACACCTGGCTCAATATTGATTAATTTACACTTTCACTTAGTGTACAGCAATCTGTGAACATAGCCTAAAACTCATTTATAAAACTCACGAAAGTATAACTGGTATGGGATAAGGCACTCAGGGAAAGATGAAGAAAGAGATATGCTGAACCACTAAAAATAAATGAAAAAAGATAGATCACTGATGTGAACATCAAATCTCCCCATCTTGCGGTCAGCTTATGTCTTAGGGATTCTCAGGGATGCATATAGGTTTGATCTATTAGCATTTTAATACCTGTTTTCTTATAATGCTGTGTTTTCTGAAGCTCATGCTAAAAGACTTACAGATTTGTAAAGACAGGTTTACTTGCTATTCAAGGTAAATTGCACTTTGATCAAGATATCCAGGAGAACATGAAACACAGCAGAGGTTCTTCCCAGGGAATTGCTTGCTACTCTTTGAAGGTGTATTGGAGGGAAAAAAAAAGACTAAAAAGCAGCTACTGTAATATAAATATAATATTGCAAGCATCTGGCTTGGGAAATCTACTATATTGTGCAGGCCAGAGTCCCTCCTGCTGAACTGAGGGGCCAGCAAAGATTGGAGCCCTGGTATAAATGCTACATTTCATACAGCAAAGAAAAATTTATCTTTGATATACAGTAATACTAGGAATAATAAAAATACTTCATGTACTTTATTTTCCAAGTCATTTAACTCCTTCTCATTGCTTCATATGTGTACCAGAGACTGTGCACTTAAGCCTGAGATTTTCTGGTAGGAATTATGGGTGGGACACTGGGGAGCGTTGGTGTTTAAGAATTCACAGGAGCTGCACACTGACTATAATGGGTCTTTTGCACACACCTTAAGCAAGAGGTACCTAACAAATGCTGCTTCTGCCACTTTGTGCTTTGCCACAAAACTGTGGATGGAATGTTTGTATCAAGAGCAAAGGAAGAAGGAAAAACTCACATTGGAGTAGCTCAGCTGTACATTGTCCCCCATTAGTATGAAGGAATTGATCTTTGTGGCATAGAGAGTAGATGATCAGTGACCAGCCATGCTGGATTGTTCTGTAAACAGAAGTGTTTCAGAAAGCTACAGTTCACTCCTGGACCACTGTTTATTGCTGCATCTGCTACATCAGAAGTAGTGAGGAACCAGACTCATGGGAACTTATTTATTGAAAAAAGACAGGGATGGCTCCCACAGAGAGTGAAAATGTTTGCTGTTAAATTTCCTTTTTGACTTTACTCATGTAAGGCTCTGCTTCAGTAATAGACTCCATCCATCTATGCCTTTCTAGTAGAATTTGTGAATGACACCCCTCAGTCTGTACACTCCATGTAAAACCTTCCTTATCGTGTAGTCTACTATAACCAAAAAATTATCATAAAACTTCTAAAAAACCTAGAGATTCATGCCCAGAAAACATTCTTTCATCCATCCTTTGGGGACAGAGACACTTGGATAATGTATATGCCTTGTGTGCATTTCTCTCCCTAAATGCAGCAGCTGGAATGAAACCGTCTTTGTAGATAAAGTTGATGTTTTAATTTTTTTACCCTGAAGGACAGCATATAATGTAGCTTTTCAATTTTCATTAACTATGGCTCAGGTTGCTATAGGCTAAGCTCTCAGCTATGAATTAAAGTAAAGCAAAGAAATTCTAGAGAGGAGCATTTCAGCTGAATGCCAACCTCGGTGTTTTGTGGCAATGCTAAGCTTGGATGGGACTGTAGTAATTATGTTTCTGTCCTGCTCTTCTAATAGCAAATTCACCAGGAAGATTTATTTTCTTCCCCTTTGTTCTCAAACCCATATCTACCCCAGGTAGATACATTGCTGGGGTATCTTAACTGAAAATATAAAAGATTAGAATTTATATATTTAAAAGAATTAGGATGACACTCAGTAAGAAAAGTTAAAGCAGAATATATAGGATGGGAGAAGAATAATGCCAAACAACATAATTAGAATAGCCTCTAGAAAAATTGTTACTTTGGTGACTTAACATAGTTCAAATAATAGAAACCATATTGACTGTATTAAGGCAAAAGACAGTGTCTCTGTAACCAACAGAGCCTTTCCTACTCCAAACTTGAATAGTGATGCCTCTGTTGAATTGACTTCTGAGCATTCTCCTTGACTTGTGTACTAGTCACAGCCTTGGTTGCAGCGCTTCTCAAAATTAGGTAGCTAACACTGTCTTCTGACAAAGCTTTATTAGATGCTAGCATAAACTTTCAAATTACTGGGAAGATGATATTAAATACTGCCAAATCAGAGAGTCTTAATACACATGTTTAGGATGTCATGTGATAACTATTGTGCTTACTCTTTAGGTCAATTGATTATAAAATAAGGAGCTTTATTAATAAGCATATGGTGGATAGAAAAATGAAGACCATGATTTCCATCTAGTCTCCAAAAAACTAACTTTAGGTATGTCAGACAGATTTCATAGGCTGAAATGTGTCAGTCTTTAGGCAAGACTTCAACCCATCAATAGTCCTCACACAGCTTGCTAAAGCAGAGCTGAACAGTTTTTACTTGCAGCCTAGTTGCAAAATTGTCAAAAATGTAACTAGATACTATGACATCAGTGCTTGTATAATGTAAAAACACAGAGACAAGTTTATTTTCCCCATTTCTGGTTCTTCCTCAAAACTGGGAGAAGGGGAAATCTCCCATCTTGAAACATAGAGGAGTTTTCAGAACAGACTGGCAATATAAAAAAATTATTTCTTAAAACTGATCTTTAGGTAATACCATGTTATATAATCTCTCTTCATTGATTATGTTAAAAAATCAGATGTATGGTACAGCAAGTGTAATCTGCTTTTCCTTTGTCAAGCCATTACACTACGTCATACATGGCAAGTGAAAAAGAAACTGTGCAGCTCATACTCATCCAGTCTGACCCAAAGATAACATATTCAATATGAGATTTATGCAGAGAACCTGTCTTTCCTTTGATGCAAATAAAATTAATTATTTTTCTTTAGTCTTTTGGATTTGAAGCATTTATTTCTCTAATGCTTCAAGACATCTCTGTGCTGATAGGGGAACTAAACTGGAAGATACCATCAGAGATAAAAATACTGACATAAACTGAATATATATTTAAAACATTAAAAATGGAAATATTTAATGTTAAAATATATCTAAAAGCAAACATACTGTCATGTACATGAAGCTATTCCTAAGCTTCAAAGATTTTAAAGGTAATGTTTAATGGTGATCTACCTTGATCAAGACACAAGGTACCATTTGTTACTCTTTCATCCATCCCATTGTCAAGCTAAACTGTATATCCTTGAAGACTTGCTATGGCAAGGATTCTTTTGGAGTGCCTGGAACTCCCAGTTATGGTTCATACTGTCACAATCTGGTCCAAAGGGCCCAGTGTCCCAAATCAGCTTATTCACAAGAATGCCCAGTGCTAGTCCTGTCAGCCCACAGCAAAGGGAAGGGGAGATAACTGAAACGAAATCTACTGCTCCTGCCCTACAGAGGTGTTCTGTTGAGCCCTTCAGTTCAGTTCAAAGTCCTTTTCTTCCACTGTGTTATAAGTACTCACTGGAAGGGCTGGAATGGCCACACATGGCTGCTGAAGGGTACCCAGCTGCCTTTGATTTATTGCAAGGCTTTCAAAAAGCATGTTAAAATTCGCTTGCTGGATGTTCAGCTTCTTTTCTTGTTGAAAAGCAGAAGCTGTAATCATAAATAATAGAACCTTAATCTATTAGTGGTCTTACTAACAGTTGCATAGAACACTTAATAATAAAATAACATTTTAAGCTATAAATACTAAATCAAGATGGAAACAGATTGTCTTATACCTCAATATAAATTGCAGGTACTATACAACCTAAAATTCAAGCTGAGATTTAGGATGATTCCCAGATACTTAAATTCCAAGGCATAATTTAATATGGGTTTAGCTAAAGTACTAATGTTTAATTGCTCCTTACAAGAGCTCTTTCAACAGAAGACTTGATTATGCCTAAACCAGACCAGAATGATATTAAAATCATGCTGCACAGCAATATAAATTTAACCTATCACTAATGCAGTTCAATAAAGAATGGCACCATCTTCATGGAGAACCATTTATTTATATTTTATTTCGATTTTGTACAAACTTGATAGCTTCAAGGAAATAAGCTCTCAGAAAGAGCAGCTGATATACTGTAAGCCTGAGAATTTGTTTAATCAATGCTTTTCTTTGAAATTAGATAACATGAAAATGAGCCAATTTGAATATCTGTTATACAGATAGTCCTTTTAACAAAATTTTGCAACATTCAGTTGTATTTTAGTATGTTCAAGCTGAGTCAAGACAGCAATCACAACTCAGCAATAAGCAGAGTCTGAGTGGATCTCAGGAGATCGTAGCCTGCCTCCCACTCCCTTGAACAGAAAGCACTTGTACCTTCAACATTCACAAAGAGATGCAATTAACCCACCACCACCACATCCACAGGAAACATGGGTGGATTTATCATCCTTACGGGACACTTGGAAAACCTGATTAAACTAAGTATTTCTTTTTGAAGTTTAAACCTACTTCTTGTCCAATCCTCCCAAAGGATAAATTATTTTCTTCCCTGAATCAGTGTGAAAATTTTTGCCACAGTCTCCTTCTCCCCAGCCTTCCTAGACCAAAGGACTCAATTTTTTCATCCCTTTATTTTTCAACTTCTAACCAGTTTGTTTGGACTTTTTTGGACCCCCATCAATTTAAATCCTACTGCACATGGTAAAGTTAAAGTTCTGTCAGTTCCAGTTCCAACTGGTGGACAACTAACTTCACATGGTCTGCATACCAGGGACAACTCAACATACAGCCTGGTGTGTGCTTTTCCTTCTTCAAAAGAAGGATATTGATGACCAGTGCTGAGTATGTTGTTCCCAGATATTTTTCAGAAATGTTACTCAACAAGTTCGTCATTTTCTGTTTGCACAGTTGATTATTTTTGCCCAAGGGCAATACTTTGCTGTTGGTTTTCATTAATTCCTTATGCTCTGCTTTTCCAAGCTGCTTCTCCATTTGTCAAGGTTGCTTTGGTGTGAAACCCTGTACCCCAGTAAACTCAATGCTAAACATCCTGGTGCCATGAGCAAAGGCCAACTGTATGTTCTGGTCCTATGCTAATAGCCTTTATCCAGGCTATTAATGAAAACACTGAATGCATTAATAAGAAAAACAGAACTTTGAGGAACCAAATCTTTACATAGCTTCAAAAAATCTGACAACTATTTTCTCAGTGTATTTATCGCTCAGTTTTACAACTGGTCTCCAGTAATGGAATAAATTACGATGCCTTGTCTAAATAATGTACAACACCATATCAAAAATCCTTACAGAAGTTATCTACTGCTATGCTCTATTTGTGTAGCCAATCACCAAAAAGAGGAATATAGGAATTATAGAAACAGCAATTAAAAATTAAATATCCTATGAGATATCATAATTCACTTATTTATTGTAACTCTCTTTTCTCCCCCTTCCCATTCCTGGCCACTTTACAAGGCAACTTCAACATTTTTTAAAAAATATATTTCTACTCTGTTAAAGCAATGCAATTTTTTTTACAGGACAACAGGACAGGAAGAGGCCTACAGTGGGACTACTTTTCTCTGGTCCATGGAGTAACTTTCATAGAATGACTGTACTCAATGTCTAAGGAAATACATGAGTGGCCCAAGCATGAGATTCCAAGTATACCTAAGCCACGTTCAGTAATGTTATCCTATGTACAGCCATTTTGGATGCTATAGGACTAAAGGACCTTGCTGATACACAGGAGAACACCAAGGGTCCAAAAGAAAACTAATTTATTTAGATATCAACGTGATACCCAGAACTGATGGCCTTCTGGTTTTAAACCACAGGATTCTTAGGCTTTCTGGTCATCAAATGTAGACCTTTTTTTATAACCTGAACCCCATTTTGTTTTGAAAGTGGGTAACTGGGACAGGTTATGTAACCAGAGGCTATCCCATATTTATGCACTCAGCCTGCCCCACATGTTCCAGAGGAAGGATGGAGGAACAAACCACTCAGCCAAGGGACAGGATGGGGACTGAATGTACAGCTTGAAAAGACTTCCAGATATAAAACATCTTTCATTCCCTTCCTCCTGCCCATAGAAAAAAGACTATTCTGGGTATGGAATAAAACAAAGAAGACAGGATAAGAGAGGCCCTATGAGAATCCCCATTCCCCAGAAAGGGACAAAACTCAAGTAAGCTAATAGAATTCCCATATGAAGTTCCACCTCCAGACAGTGGCTAGACTCACTTCAGTTGGAGCCAAAGCCATCCTTTTAAACTGTTTTCCAATCCTTAAACCAAACATCATGGTTCTTCTCCAGGTAACAAAAATCTACTTTTATTAACAATTATCATGGTACTGTACTTACCTGGAATTTGTGCCATATGCAAATCATTCCAACACTAACCCTTTGAAACCAAGGTAAGAACCTGATATTTCACTAAGGAAAGGATTCAAAGGAAAAAAGTCATCAGTTCAGAGTAGAATTCTGCCTAAGAAGGAGTTTTGGGCTCCAGAAAGAAGAGAGCTACATGAGACTCCTCAGGTGTGGAAGACTGAAAAAACCAAACCACAAACAACAAACCAAAAAAACAAACAAACAAAAAAACCCAAACAAACTGCCCAAAAAACCAACCACCACCACCACCAACATAAACCACCAAAACAAACAAAAAGGAGATTTTGAAATTACTGTTTAGCTCCATGCAGTGTAATTCTACAGTATAACCAAAAAACCTTGGGATGGACTGTATTTCTCAACCTGGGGGTTGTTTAATAACTTTCCAATTTCTTAAAAATATTAAGACAATATCAAATCAAAAGGATTATTTCCCCTTGAAATGTATCATTTGGAGGAATAATCTGCAACAGACTGTGACTTCTGACCTGAATCCAGCAGAAAATCAGCAAGTCCATAAAGATGAACCTGGACACGTCCAGTCTGAAAACAAGATCAAAGTTAGGGTTGGAGAGTTAGTTGCTTAATTAAGGCAATTTGAGTAAAAATAACGAAGGCGGAAGTCACATTTCTGCAAAAGCAATTTGGCAGAAGGGCTAGCCCTCTTCTTTATAGTACTTCAGATGAAAAAGGAAGATGCTATTAGTTGCTTTCTTTGTTAAGTGTTTGAATTGAAACCTTGGTGCCACTCGTTTACTATTTGCCAGTAGCGCTGAGTGAGTAATTCTCTGCCTGTAATTTCTTCTACTAAATTAGCCTCTTTTTCTTCCCATGCAATATCCATCAGCAGATCATGATTTTCTCATTTAAACGCGCTCAATAAATATGTCTGAATTTTACCCTGCAAACAGATTGCAAATATTTGAAGTTCAAGCTGCATCATTTACTTAGGATTGGTAAATCAGGTCACACGGTTTGTTCTCTCTGGTAAAGTAGTGTGAGGAACACTACTTCCTGTGCACACAGTTGTGTGCTTCTCCTTAAAATCAGACTTTCACAAATGCTCATGGGAAACAAAATTTGCATTATTGCTTTTTATATGCCTTTCTGCTTAAAGTAAATCTCAATTGATTGTTCTTTCATCAAGAAGCAAATTTGAATGGACTCTCTGTGACTATGGGTAAAGAGAATTCATTTAAGAACTTTAATGATTTCTTGCGAACATTTTTTGATATTATTCATGCCATGTTTGTTTATTTACCAAAGATGAATTAGATAAAAAAGGCCTTTAGTCCTTAAAGCATCTTTACAAAAGATAGAAAAATACCAAAATTAACCAAAAAAGATAAAAATAAATATTTCCAGGATTCAAAGAGGGGACTGCTGAATCATACAGCAAATTTGGCAAAAGCAGAAAAACAGGAAAATCCCATCACTCCATTTTGCACCATTAATCAGAAAACACAATTTAACAAGCCAGGAATAAGCTCCAATCTGCAGTTTTTGTTTTCTTTCCCCAGAGCAACAGGATTCTGGTTAAGGATGCTCCTTGTGGACCATAATGGCTATGCTGTTTGCAAATGTTGGTATAATTTGGAAATGTAAATGTATTGTCAAGTGATGGTTCCATGGATACAGCTAGTCCACTGTTGATTGTATTACAAGCAAAAAGAATAAAAGAATATTCCAAGATGTGGTCATTTATTTTTGCAGGGGTTTAACTATTATAAATACAAGCATGCATTTTCTAGGTATTTTGATAATTCAGAGAAATAGATTTTCTGTGAGAGAACTGGGGAGAAAAGGAGTGATTATACACAGCTAGTGAATGGCATCATGGAAAAGCTCATAAATAAATAAAATAAGCACGAACACACACAGGGCAGCTGTCCTAGTTCCCAGCTTCTCAGATGTCTCTTTTCTACAGGCCTTCTCTCCTCCCTCCCCCCTGACCACAGCCAGCTCATTGCTTTACCTTTAAAGCCTCTGACAGATCAGCCTAACCAAGATTTTAAATAAGCAAGGGCAAACTTGACCACTCTCCCTTATAGCCACGAGGGCAGACAGACTCTCCAGTAATTGTGCCAAGCACATAAAATCCATATAGAATACTTACTTTTTAAAATTACAGTAATCAAGAACGTTCAATTTGCTCAACCAAAATGCTGACCTGATCTAGACTCCCACAATGTAATACTGTGCACTAAGGGTATGCATTTCAGCATCTGTCACACAGAATTCTATGGGCCAAAAAAATACTCAAGTAGAAAACTGTAGTTCTTAATTAGGTCTTAGGCACAAAATCTGTCCGGTTCCTCATTCAGGAGCAATCTTTGACTGGATATCATTCGGGCTCTGTGCAGCTTAAGCCACTCAACCAGGCACAGACCAATTCATGGCCTTTGTCTTTCGGTATTTTTATTTAAAAGTTGCTATTTAGCTGTTGACACATATTATATTTCAATATTGTCCCATTCTGAAGAGCCAAAACTGTCACAACTCCAGAAGCACCAACACAAATATTGAACAAACCTCACCCCTACTCAACACCAAAGCAATTGTCTAAATCTAAGTGGTTTAATGAGCAATATCCCAAGCAGAGGTTCAGAAGAACATATAGGTGGTTAAAACAGTAATAATAATAATAACAATAACAATAACAATAACAATAACAATAACAATAACAATAACAATAATAATAATTTTGCAAAACATAATTTTTTTAACAAAGCTGATTAGCACAGCTTTGTTCCTAAAATAAATTGATACATAAATAAATCCATGAAATTAAATGTCAGGTTTCTATCTGTCTATAATATTAAAAAAAATTATCCACAGACCAGAAATACACAGAAAGTCAGAATGGAAACACACATGTAAATATATACATATCTATAGCTAGATATCTCTATCTATCTATCTATTGATATATATCTATCTTAGCATTTTTGGCTTTCACATGTTTTTGCATAATGATAGGGCTAATATAACGTAACAAATCCTAAACTGTTTTCACAAGGAGTGGAAAAAAGATGTGTAAAAGTATGCTCTGTCTTGCTTCCTTCTGTTCACAATGTATCTAAATACAACAAATGGTGTTCTTGCTCTTTCTGTCTGTTTCTCAATCTGTTTGGAAAGTAGCCATCATTCTGCAGCCAACCATAATATTTGACACTTCCTGACATCATGAAAGCCACCATCTGTCTATCATTGAAGCCCTGTACTTTTTAAAGACTGCTTGGCTTGATCTTTAATGAAGATTCACTGTGAATGCACAGATCAGTTTAGATAGAAAACTGGAGAAGTCTGACAAAAAGACTGTGCAAAATCATGTTTCAGTTTGATTCAGACACAAAACAAAAGGAATAACAAGACCTTCTTGCAGATACCAAAGAAAAAGTTCAGTTCACTTTCAGTAAGTCCAAGGTGGACTTTCATCATGGAAAGTTTGGAACATAAAACCACATTGAGACAAAAATTAAAAATTATCCAAAAAGCAGTTTTCCTACCTATACCTAACTAGTTTGCAAATATAGACACACTTTCAGTGTTTGTAAGAGGCATAAAATATATAATATGCTATTCATTGGAAATCACCATGCAATTCCATATTTAGGTATTACTATTTTCAACATCCAAAAAGCAGGTTTTCTATGCTTTCGGCTTGATACATAAGTTTTAAAGACCCTTAAATACCAAAAATATAGAAATCTCTGTTTTGTAAATATGTGCAAGAAGGAAAGCATGGTTTTTTTTCTCCAGGACATATCTTAACAGGGAAATTTATTCGCTGTGATATTTTAAGGCATGGGTTTTTACCATAATTTTTGCACAAAACAGTGACTCAAGGTGTAACATCTCTACTTGCTTTACTTAGAACATATTTAGATGCAAACCTTTAGAAATCTGACCTGTAAAACCATGACCTTTGAATACCCCATTCCTGTTTCCTTCATCTAAAAATTAATTCAAGTGTCTCCACATGGCTACAGAGGCCGAATGCTCCATACAGCCTTCAAATCTTCTATAGCCCTACTTATCTACAGCTCCAACACAAACCCATTCATGGATGGAGGGCCAAGACCCTCGTCCCCTTTGGCTACCAACTCCCCTCTCCTCCTCCTGCACCAGTCTGCCCTCCCCTTTTCTGATGCTGAGAAGGGAGACGAAGCATTTCCTGTGCTTTTCTCAGCATGGCAGCAGTAAATGTGGCTGGTCCTTCAGCAAACAATCCAGGTCAGGAGAGAGCACTGTGTACAAGCTGTGTGGGGGCTAAGCATCCTGCAACCACCACCAGTCTCACAGGGTGACAGTGAAAAAGCAGCATTCAACAGGCCAGGAAGCTGCTTGAGGTCCCAGAAAGAGCGGCTAGAAAAGAGATGCAGTGCACTTCTCACCACTACTACCTCCGTAAAACATCACTGCTAGCGTTGAAATTAATGGGCATGAGGGCATGAAAGGAAAATGCCTTTCTTCTTGACAATAGATGGCAATTATAATAATTATTATTTTCATTTTGGTTATTATCTCAGAGCTAACCATAATAATTCCCATAGCAAGCATTGAAATGTGGTCCTGAATTTTGCAGTAAGGACAAATAAGAAGCAATATGGTCTGAGTATGTGTCCAAATCCTATGTTCAGCCCCACGCCTATCTATTTGTGCACCCTCCCATCCAATGCCACAGCGCCTGGAGGTTGTCCCTGCATCCCCTGTCAATTTATTCTTCCTGCCCTCCTGTCACACCATCCCAAGCCACAGCTGCAGGAGGTGGTGTGCACATACAGTAGGTTTGCATGGCAATGCTTTGGCAGCTGGGGGGTTACAGGGAGTGGCTGCTATGCCAAGCTGGCAGAAGCTTCCCTCATGTCCCACTGAGCCAGCCAGTTCTAAGACTGACCCACTGTTGGCAAAGGTTGAGCCCATCACCAATTGTGGTTGTGCCTCTGGGATAATGTATTTAAGAAGCAGGGGGAAAAGAACTGTTTTCTTTTGCTTGTTTGGAATATACCAAGATTCTGTCTTTCACCCCCTCTCCCTCCTTCTTTTCTTTCCCTATGACCATGACACCTGAACATCTCAGTGTCTTTTATTAATTTACCCAAACAATGCTCCTGTGAGCCTGGGAAGTGGTGTTGTCCTGTCTTATTCTACTATACTGATGGCACAAAAGCAATGAATGTGCCCAGCACAGCAGAGCAGGAATTTCAGCACAGCTTTCCCAATGTCCTCATCACTAGTTCCCATTCCTGTTCACATTTCTCTTTATTGTTTCATCAACAGCTTCAGGTTTACTGCTTCAAAAAACTATGTGTTATGATTTTAAAATCAGGTTTTTTCCATAGACAGTTTTTTCCATTCACAGCTTTTTCTGCTACATATTTTTTGGTTTATAAAAAATGGCATTTTTTAAAAATATTCCCTTGTTTTCCACATAAATATAGAGCATTGGAAGTTGATTTGGTTGATTAGAAGATTTCATTAAAAGCAAAAGTGGAGTTGCTTTAGAGCACAATAGGCAGAAGAGTGATAATTTGTTGTAAACTATCTTATAAGATACAGGTACAACCCTGCAGCGTGGAGAAGGAATGGCTTTATGTTACCCAGAATGATAGCGATGTAATTGGGATACCACGACATTCAGTGCTATGGAATTTTCTTCTTCAAGCCCAAAAAAGGCATTCAAGAAATGCCTCAGACATTTTCTAAATGTAAGCCTGAGAACAGGGCCTTATACACTAACTTCATCCAAACCCTGTTCACAGAGAACTTGCTCCTTATATGTGTTGTAGACTGTAGAGCAGACACAAAACTGAGTCTGAATTTTTACCTTTCCTTTGTGAAACACATGGAGTTGCTAAATAAATGAGGTGTAAACAGGGCTTATGTATCACTGAAACACAAAAAAAGAAAAGTAGGAGCCATTTGAGTGGTGTCTTCACATGAGAAAAAGGGGAGTGAAGAATAACCATCTCTAGCTGACATTGCAAAGTGGGAAAAAAACAGGCTTTTTCCTTGGCACCTTTTTCTCTATCTTTGAGAATATTACTGGATTCCAAATCAGCAGCACTGATCCAGGGCTTTGTTTTGGACACTCATGCCAATGTCACCAGTATCAAAATGATCCATCTCTTGTCTCTTCACTGGGAAAGAGAGAAGGATGACAAATATTCCAAATACCAGTGTTGATACTTTCAAACATACCTCATGCTCTAGCCTAGGTGTGTCCAAGTGCAGGAAAAACAGGGAAGGACTGCATTCCAACAAAAAGAGAAAGGTGAAAAGGACCTAGAAACAACAAAGGTAAATGTGACTAAGTAAGAAAGCAAGTGATCCAGCCACATACACAGTAAATACTTTCATCCTCTATACATGCCTAATTTCTATTTCTCATCAACATTTACTAGACAACACTACATGTTACTAAACAACATTTAGTGGTTTCTAAGTTTTGGTGTACAAACCAAAAGTGAGATGTGATTGTAAATACTACTTCCATTTACTATGGATTTAAGACAAATGCATTTAAATATGGGTATTAAAGGTTTTTTAAAAATAAGCTACATTAAAAAATTTGCATATTAGTTAAATAAAGAATAAATTATTTGAAGCAGCTGTTCTTGTTAGAGTAGTATTTTTTCATATTAATTACAAACCTCTTAGTTTGTTTTGTGTGCCCAAAACAAAGGCAGCCTAATCAGTATAAATTCAAGGCTATTTTGTGCCAAAATTTGTGAGGACTTACAAAGTTGGTGAAGGCCAAGAACATCTAGGAAGACAACAAAACATATTTTTGTTATGGCTTTCATCACAATTTTTCTCGAGTTATTCTCCTGTGGACTGTTACCATAGGGGGGAAAAAAACCAAAACCAGCAAAATAAAAGGGAAGCCAAATAACCCCTGTTGCAAATAAAGATGTAAAGTTTGATGCTTTCAGCCTTTGAATCCTGATGCAAAGAAAAGTTATTGTGAGTTAGTAATGGATGCCATTCTTTCATTTTAAAGGAATTTTAAAGAAAATTCAAAATACAGCTCTGCTGAAATCATGTTGCATGCCAGGAATGATAGTGAATCTTGTATAAAGTTCTATATCCTGTCTACTACAAGATGCAGGGCAAGACTTTTCTGCTGGCAAAATTTTCAGATTAAATGAATAATTATAGAAAGGGATTGGATGGAAAGTCAGGAGATCTAGTTTAAATCCTACAGCTGCCATATATTTCTGCATGACCAGGCGCTGAATGCTGAAAATCTCCGTCCATTCTCTCAGACAGGGATGCTGATATTTCTTTTTCTCTTTCTTTGAATATTATGTTTCCTTAGAGTATAAAATCATCACAGCAAACACTCCTTCTCCTGTATCAAATAAATTATTTTATCCTTAGTAGGATATGTTATACACAGTTGTAAGATAAATAATCATGTTCCAGCTCTTAACATTCATAAACTGGAAATTGTAGTTAACTCCTGAGAAGACTAATTTGAATGGATTATGAGAAAGATTAAAATGACAACACAGTGACTTGGTCTAGTCCTTTTAGGTGGAAATGTGTTGTCTTCAATGTCTGTCACGACATCTCTTATTAGATGCTGAAAATATCTGTACAATGAAAATATACATTGAAAACCATCTTCATTTATTCTTGGAGTTTCAGCTCTAGAACTCTTTTCTGAACTAAGAGGGTAAGAAGAGTAAAAAGAGAAAGGAAAGGAGGAGGACTTATTGAAAGTTAAATTATTTCACGCTAATGTCTGGGTACTTTCTGGAGTTCATCCAGGCCCAAACTGCTCTTCAGTTCAGTCCTGCCATTCTACTTCACTGTGGTCAGACGATGAATCAATTCTTATGCTCTTTCTGTCCATTGTCTGTTTTTCTTCCTTTCTCTGCGTAATTAAACATGTGAAAGACTCTTCTATTAGCTCCCTAGAAAGGACTTAAAAGATAATTGGCCTGATCCACAAAATGGTAAGAAAATATTATGTATAACACAGCTATCTTCACTTTGCCTGAACATTCAGCAGGGTCTGGAGATGCTGCCAAACTGGTGCTTCAAAGGATCAGGCCCATAAAAATGCTCAGTAGTTTGTATTTATGCAACAGAAACCATATACTGAGCTAGCTAATCCACTGTATTCCCCATGGAGGCATCCCAGCATCAGCTACGTTTGCTATCTCTATTCCTGTTTAAAGGTGTCAGCCTAAATTCAAGCAGCTGTCAGCTACCTAGTGGGCTTGGCTCTTTCCTAGCAGTTAATTGTGCAGACACCATTGATTAAGAGGATAGGCCAGTTGCACGGGTTCTGATTTGCAGGAAAGCAAAGAGGAAGAAAGAGAGGAAAATAAATCCTTTTATTATATACAAGCCAGACATAACAAATATAACCTCAAAGCTATTTGTAAAATTAGGCAAGCATGCATGATTAATGTGCAGATTATTGTCCACATCTTGATCATGCTATGGCCAAGATACACTGCAAAAACAGATATGAGATGTAAGCAGTTTCTTTTCAATCTTGTTTTATGAATTCATTTATTTTATTTTACACTGTTCTGAGGAGACAAAAATCTTTCTGAGAAAACCAAATCAATGAAGTTTTCTGTCCAGAAGGGAATATTAGTATTACCTTTGTAAAACACAAGCCACTTCATCCTGTTAACTCTATATCAATAGTATGTTAATGCTTGATCATGGCAACCATTCCATAAACATCTAATAATTTAAAAAGTCAGAAAATGGAAAGAATAGAACACAGAATGAAAAGAAATCTAGGCTTGTTTTGGAGACATTCGAAAGATATTTAAGTTCCCGGAAAGATACAGAATATTTTAATGATTTTTCTCTGCTAGTGTAGAAATGTGACACATAGTCTCTTCTTCAACACTATGAGTAAAGACTTTTATATGGAAATAAGGGATTCCTCAGCATCTTTACTGAAGCTGTAACCAGTATAGCTTAACACATGAGCTATTTGGGACTCTGCTTTCGTGTCCTGGCATAGGTTTGAATAAAGGTTTAAGGTACTGAAGCTTTAAGAATGTTATTCTGTTAATATGCAAACTTTCCAGCATTTATTATAAAAGCTGTACCATAGAAACAAGCTCTTTCTTTTCTTGCATTGCCTATTGTAAAATAAATATGTACAGATGTGTATCTGTGAGCAAACTAAATTTTAACTTGAAATGCTCAGCTATGACAATCACAACATTTCTTGCTTTCATAATGAAAAGTATAACACACACATTTGACAAAAATTCATTGCAAATCAGTGCATACCCCTTCAAAATCACTGACTCTCTGTGGGGTGTCACTCTTCTCTCAGCAGTGAGTGACTGAGCAGTCAAATACACCTGACATGCTTAGGGGACTTAAATCCAATAACACTGAAATGGATAAGGCAATGATCTGATAGGTGACTTGAAGAATGGTGGATTTGTTAAATAGATCAAGCTCAACAACAAGATTCATCTAACACTTCCTCCCCTCACTTTCACAAGTGCTGACTTCCCTAACTTTTCTTCTCCAGTGACCCTTAACATGTTCAGTTGTGATGCCTCCAGCAGGGCCTTAACCTGTATAATTTTCCACTGCCATCACCCACGTTTTCCACAGAAGGGTATTTCTCATACAGATTTATCAATATAAATCTGCACAGATTTATCAATATCCAGACTGTGCTCAGTATCTGAGCACAGTGTTTGCTTCTAGAAAGATTCAAAAGAATTTCAATGTCCAAAAATTTTAGTAAACTGAAACTTTCTATCCTTAAAAGCTGACTAAGCCAAAAGAAAAAGGTGAAACAAGCTTAAAAGATCTGAGAATCCTATTCCTCCCCCATCCCTGTTCTTTTTCATTTCCCGTGGAAATATGATATTTGTTTTGGTACACACAGAATCTTTTTGAAAATCTGACTGATTGCACATTGAGCTTTGTGTGCAACCACTTTGATTTGAAAGCAACTGCATTTTCCAAAATAAAGCAAGGAGCGCTGAGGAGGGAGAGACACAGCTGTATGAAGCTCCATGTCCCAGCAGTGGGTGTGTCAGGTCCCCCCCACTCCTCCAGATGCTTGTTGCTTAGCTTCTGTGTTTTCAGCACAACTTTGGGGGAGTTTCTAGCTTATGGTTTCTGACTCTGCCTAGCAACATTTTAAAGATTTTTTTTCTGTCTGGAATTTTGTCTGTGAATCATTTCAAAGACCATATTTCTGGTGATACATGCTATCAGGCAGAATTAGCAAAATTTTGCCTGACTCAGGCAAACAATATTTGAGCAAGTTTGCAGCATCAGGAAGAACACCCACAAAGAAAGTGCCACTTTTTGTATTGTCTAAACTCTGCTTTTCAACCTACAGGCAATTGGCACCTAGGCCTCTTGAGAATGGTGTCCCACCTTTGTGGTGGGCACAGTGCCACCCTAGCAGATGGCCATGAGTGTTGGCATGCTGAGAATCAGTATGTGCATCACGTTTGAGTACAATAGGTCAGCCTCCCATCCAAGTATGTGGGAATGAGATTGTCTGTGCTGGGCTTCTGTGCCAATGGTTAAAGGAATATACCATCATTAAACTAGCTGAAGGAGGAGATTAATTTTTTTAAGATTAAGTCATGTTCTCTATAGCCATTTGGGATCAGCATTTCTGCTGCAGTTCTCTGGTTGCTGGATCACTGAGAGAAGGCAGAATGCATGTATGCATACATGCACACAGATAGCCCAGCCAGGGAGACACCTTCTTGCTTCAACAAAGATGTATTTTTGCCCTATTTGGTACCCCTGCTGAATGGCTCATCTAGGTACAAAAGCCAGATCCATAGAAGCTAGCATATAATTTGAGCTCAATGGATCCCTAAGAGCACTACAGTATTTGGCATGAAATTTGCCATGGAGCCCTTGAGGGGCTTTTCTCATCCTGGAACCAATGGAGTCTAATTTTGATTCAGTAATGAAAAAAAAGCACCTTGCTGACAAAACAGAATGGACCTGTTCAAGCTCCTTTTTACAATCACATTTAGAAAGTTACTGATAACAGTAGACATGCTTTCCTCCCTCTCTTCTACCAAAATAGTAAAAATTCTTCATAAGTAGTATGGAGGCTCAAGGCATTTAGACTGAATTGTCTTATAACAACCTCTTTTAGTGTAAAATGTGGTAGGAAATAAGACTGTCATTGTCTGTCAATGGCTTCTGTAGTGCAGGGCATAAACTAAGAGCAAGCCAGGAGCATCTGCTTCTCTAGAGAGATGATGACCACTCAGACTTATTGATGTTCTTTGGCCTTATGCATTTGGAACTACATCACAAGATGCACTGCAATTCATCAAATTTCTTTCTTATGTCACTGAATATTCTGTTTGAGCTTCCAAATTTCACTCTTATTGGAAATGTAGACCGTTTAGTCTGCATTGAATAGATATGTCTGTTGTCATCAATTTTAAGTAGACATATTGAAGAGATTTTTTTTTTCCTGGAGAGTGAACGAAACCACCTATATATTTTTATCATCTTATGATATTTTAAAATTAGCTTTATGATGCCATCAGGAAGAACAATTTTGAAAGTTTTTCACTACCCTACCAGTTCTTGAGAAAAAGAGACTGACTATAATGAATAAGTGAGCAATTGATGTGGAAGAGCCAGAGTTAAATTTCAGACTTTACCTCACTTGAAATTATTTGAGTTATTAAAATTAATCATTAACATCATCAGCTGAAATCAAATAAAGGACTCAAGTCCACTTCCAATATCTGAACTCCTTGAACCTGTTCCCTGGAGGAAGCTCTGTTAATGAAAATTATCAAAATATTTTAGATTCAGAAGAAGTATATTCTTGATTAAAGCCAACAATAATCAGGTTTTATAAGAGTATGTCAATTACATCTTACACAGGTAAATCACTCCTTGTCCTTGTATCATCAAAAAACTAAAAAAAAATCATGGCACCATTCTCAAAGCTACCCAAGAGGGTTCAGAAGACTACCTGTTCTCATCTTAATTTTGAAAATTTCCCCTATATCCTCAAGTTACCAATAACAGCTAAATAGGGCTCAGAATCACAGAATCATCTAGGTTTGGAAGAGATCTTAAAGATCATTTAGCCTAACCTTCAACCCAGTACTATTATAATCACCCCTAAACAATATCTCTAAGTGCCCCATCCAGACACTTCTTGATGTCTTCCAGACATAGCACCTCTAGTGTGGAGGCTTGTGAGCCTACTGGGAAGAAGGCAACAGCAATTCCCTGGAGAGATCCACCTTAGGCTCCAGGCATTCCTCACAGCTCAGGGTGAGGAAAGAAGCTGCCCCCACAGTGCTCTGCAGCACTATGTTAATTTGTACCAGTTCTGTCCTCCCCATTAGCCTGTTGGCCTTCTCTACCCCTTTTACCCTTACGTTTTCAAGTTCTAGTAAATTCTCAACTCCCTCTAATCCCACTGGTTTGTGTAACCCCGCCCATCCAGCCTGGAATTCCCTATTAGTCTCTTCCCCGTGCACCGCCCCTGGGCCCTCAGAGCATTGGATCCCTGATGCTCTTGTGTGACCCCTCTTTCCCTGTAGTTATACCCTAGACTCTCCTTTGTTTTTGGCCCCTGGACCCTTTCAGTGTTGCCTGAAACAAAGCACATTGGAACTCTGTGTCTGGGCCCTCCCTGTCTTCACTGCTGAGCTGCTGCTGAGCTGCTGTGTGTGTGTGTCTGCGTCTGTGTGTCTGTGTCTGTCTGTCTGTCTGTCTGTCTGTCTGTGTCTGTATGTGCTGGTGCTCTCATGGGTCCTACCCGTTGGCCCAAGATGTTCTCAGGGAAGGTTGTGTCCACCACCACTGCAACACTCCAGCTCCTCCCTGGGCAACTCATTACAATGTCTAACCATTCTTTCAGAGAATATTTTTTCTAAAATCTAATTTTTACTTCCCCTGGTGCAACATTTGCACTCATCCTTCCACGTGAGATACAGCAGAAGAGACCAACCCCCACTTGGCTACAACCTCCTTCCACAGAGTTATAGAGAACTATAAGATCACCCCATAGCCTCATCTTCTCCAGACTAAATAACCACAGTTCCCTCAGCCCCTCCTCACACAAGAGGTTTTCTAGATCTTCCACCACTCCATTGCCTTTCTCTGGACACACTACAGCACCTCTCTGTCCTTTCTGGAGTGAGACATCCAAAAGTGATCACAGAACTTGAGATGCAGCCTCACCAGGGCTGAGTACAGAGGCACAATCACTTCCCTGGTCCTGCAGGTCACGCTATTCTTGATACAGACCAAGATGCCATTGGTGTTCTGGCCACCTGGACCCACTGCTGGCTCATATCCAGCTGGCTAACTACATCTGCTACTCATCCTACTGTGTCTGCTCAGAGCAATAGGAACACAGCTCCTGTGTGGCCTCCCATATTTCTCATAAGAAGGAAAAGAAGCAAGCATAGGAACTAATCACCATTAACACCTACACTCATTCATCTCTGTGCTCTAACCACTTGATTATTAAAAGCTGCATAAGGATCCACAGAAAAGGAGAAGAAGTTTCTGAGTACATTCAGCCTGCATTCAATGACAGGGAACTAATTATGTTAAAAAACCCAAGAAACTATGACAAAAAGAAATAATTAATGTTCCAGCTACAACTATTGCTTATAAATAATGTTACATATATAAATGTACATATAATTTATAACCATATATAGGGATATCATTTGATACAGTAAAATAGTAATATATTGTATATCACAACATAATAATTAGACTGCTAACCCATGCTAGATAGTCTTCTAAAACTAACAAAATTACTAATTAAAAAAACTAACAAAATATTCAAACCATACAACAACATTGAAACATCAAATCATTCCTTGAGAAGCTGAGAATTCTTTTTTGTGTGTTAATTATGCAATGGGCAGATTAACAAAATGAAAACTAAAAAGCTTTTACTATATCATTTACTTAAGTCTTTGTATTTCAGACTTTACACAAGGGAAGAGCTCCATCTGGAACTTAGTTTTAGTAGTGCTAACCACGCAGTAATTTTTTTCACCATATAGAAATAAAAAGTAAAAATAGAGTTAGAGGTACCACTACATTGTGGTACCTCTATCAATTATTTGTTCCCAGTCTTTCAAAAAATGACTGAATATCAATTAATTTCTAAATAAATAAAATTATCATTTTAATTATGTTTTTTCAAGTATCTGCACTAGTTCAATACACAGCTTGATATGCTTTCTTCTCTTTTCTTTAATATCTTCCCATGCCCTTGCAAATAACTGTTTTGTTACTTACAATAAGCCAATAGAGAAGGAGATTACTAGTTCTACTGTGTCTTCCAGGGACAGTAAGTGACACACATCTCTGTGCCCTCCTGTATCTTGAGAAAGAAAAGGAGAGGAGGATAAATTCATATGGCTGGACCTTCCTGTTACAAGTTAGGGCAGAGCCTGGAAAAATGGGAGAAGTTATGACAGCCTCTCTTTAGTCCCCTCAGCAAGATTGTGGAGGAAAATATCTTGCTGGAGTGAAAAGAGCAACAGTAATATATTAAATACTCTTTTATAAGACAACCACAAGAAAGGCAGACCTCACACCTAGAAGGCCATTGTGCAACAGCACTTATTTTACAGAATAACAAGGAACCTGAAGCTTCTGCATTAGGAAGGACAATTCTCAAATATTACCATGACCATGGTATGTTCCCCCTAAATAGAAAGACAGATTCATCCTTGCATCAGTTTTCTGTTCATGATTTTATTTTACTATTTTGCAAAGATCCCCTGGATTGAATGAATCCAGCCTTTTCTGCTCTCATTGGTGACTAAAAGAAAGCTAATTAAGCCAATTTTAAGCTGAGTGTGTAAAACTTGAAATTTTTGCAATAATAATGGGGTTTACTTTATTTAACAGAAAAAACTGTTATTACTACTTGATGTATTAAACTAAGTTATACCATATCTCATTTACATCTGCTTAAGAAACGTGTAAATCAACTTCCCATGTTAAGCAGCATAACAGTCAATATGCTTTGTTTTCTGTGGGAATAACCTACCCTCCATCTTTCCCCAGAACTGGACATCCTTTCTGCTAGGCAGTCCTCCAAAGATTTAAAACAGCTAGGAGAGTGACAAATAGTAGAATGCATTGTCAGAAAACATAGCCAATTATTAAGTTAATTAGTATATTTGTGTCCCTGGCTAATTTCTTTTTATTTTCCTCATTAAAGGTAATATCATACAACCTTCAGTTAAGTACATGACATTGTCATACTATGTTCTGTAGTATGTGACCCCAGGGCTATCACAATATGCATGAACAGGCACCCATGAATGACAGCATCTCAGAGAAAGAAAAAAGAGATTTAGTTGTATTCCCACTGACTACTGCCAGTAATGGGGTAACTGACATGATGCTTGTGCTGGTTTTTGGCTGCAGTAGAGTTAATTTTCTACATTACAGGATTTATAATCAAGTACATCAAAGAGTCAGCATTTTTTGTCTGTCATGCTTTTCCAACATTTTTCTGCTTCTGAAAGTTCTAATTCTCTATCAAAGTGTTTTTGTAAGAGTAGAATCAAAAAGGAGATTGTGAAATTTGAATTATTTAATCAGAAATATTTTTACAAAAAATAGTCATTCATGATACATCTTATCTGCCCTGTATGACAGTTAAATCTGTGGAGGATTCCACAAATAAGCACATTGTGCTACAAACACATCTGACTGATCTAGAGATATCTTTAGGTAGCTTAAGGCAATCTGGCTCAAACAGCAAGTAAACTAGACAAGGTAAGTTCAGCTCTCATAGGCTACACTTCTCCCAGCAGCATGACAAAATATTATTCAATGAGAGCTTAGCTTTCTAGACTCTACCTGAAATGTGGAGGTACTCAGGCTAAACAAGCATTACTCAAAGCCACAATGATAATTAAAATATAGGCATCTCACTGGCCAAGGAGATGTTCCACTCACCTCAGGAGAGTAAGCCAGAGGACGCATGTATGCTCTACAGTGAAAGGAGGTAGGTTTAGATTGGATATCAGGAAGAAATGCTTTCCTGTGAGGGTAATGAGGCTCCAGAATAAGCTGTCCAGAGAAGTTGTTGACACCCTTTCCTTGAAATGTCCAAGGCCAGGCTAGATGGGGCTCTAAGCAACCTGGTCCAGTGGAAGGTGTCCCTACCCATGGCAGTGGGGTTGGAAATAGATGATCTTTAAGGTTTCTTCCAACCCAAACCATTCTATGGCTCTATGATGCCCAGCTCCCTGTGTCATTTCTGACGAAAGCCAACATGTTTACAAGGTTTGGTTTAAAAGGGGCCGGATTTACAAGGCAGGACATTATACAAACTCAGTAGGAAACCAAGACCTAGGTGCAAGGCTGGCTCAAAATTTTATTTCTGAAGCTTTCAAGAACAAGAGACCATGGCCAACTGAGTTACAGTGGCCCTGAGAATTGCTCACCTGGCTAATACAAAATTACTGAAAAGCCTGTTTCTTTGTCATAGCACAGCCTACCTTTTTCTAACAGTCATGCCTGTAAGTCAGTGAAATTGTGTTTCAAATCCCTTGGCAGCCTTTGGGAGGTTCAGGAGTAAATCTTCATCTCCAGAAGGAAGACTCCATGCAGCACAGAAGATGCCTCAGCAGCTGTGCTGCCTGGATGGGGGCAGGCAGCCTTTCAGAAGCTGCAGTGTGGCTCTGCAAGGCAGCTGTGGTCCTTGGTGCTCCCTATGGTGCCTCTCTGAGCAGAAGTCAGGTGCCTTTTCTCACAGTCTGGTCTCGTTTTTCTCTTTGTTTGTTTTTCACCTAAACCATCGAATGTAATAAGGCATAAATAGTCCAGGGAACACAGATCAAAACCCAGATCTCACATACACCGTGCCAGCATCCTTAATCAATAAGATAAAGATTTGCTGTCCCACTTATCTGTTTTCATTCTGGCCATCAGAGTTAGGCAGTGATGGAAAGTAGACTCTCTGACTCCCTCTCTTGAATTTAGGGATCTATATTTTATCAGACAAAGTAGCCTTGTCTGTACAAATGTCATTAACTGTCCCCATTCATTGGGAGCTAGGATTTCTGTATGTGCCAGTGATGCATACTAGCTTCCTTGAAAACTGTCTGGCTTCCAGGGACTTCTAGAAAACCTGCCTGGTTCCCTGGGCAGGCAAAAGCAAATCTAACTTCCAAGGGCAAGATCATTTATATAGAAAGAGTGAGGAATGAAAATCCACAGGGAATTTTTAGTCAATCCTCCTACTTTTGTGAAATTATTGTGAAATTTATTCAAGTGAAAAAGTCTGCTTTGTTTTAAATGTATGTACTTTGTCTGAAGGAAAACTTTCATTATTCAGCACTTTTACACTATTTTTTCTGTCTTTCTCATAAATACATTAAAATTATTGCAAAGAATGGAATACAAAGAGGTGCGGGTAGTACACTGAACAATCTGCAGTATTGTGGGCCTGGTTTAGATCTCATCTGATGAGTATGAATTAGGAGTAACACTTCAGAAGTCCAAGAAGTCAAACTGACCTAAAACTGGTGCAAGGCCTTTGGTTGGATATTTCTTACATATGAAATTACAATTGTGGTCCTCTGGCTGGTCTACAGAAGTGCTGTGCATTAAGGAGAGGTCACAAATTTATGAAGTCAGTGGCTGCCATATAAAGAGCTCAGTCATCAGGGTGAGAGCAACCTGACATTGTCTAATTGCCAAATAACAAAGTTAAAATTTCCCTGTATTTTAATGCCCTGTTTCTGAGCCCTTTGAAAAGAGTCATAATTTATCAGATCCAAGGTAATTAATAAATCAAAGTGAAGATGGAGAGTATGACCCAGGGCATGAGCCTCTTGTAACTATTCCCACTATTGTTGATGCCAGGCTCATCTTCCCACTATTGCTCATGCCAGGCACCTCTAACCCCTCAGCTGGAGTCCCAAGAGATATCTAACCTCTCAGAGCCATTTACATGAAAAATTAGGCTCCACCAAAACATATCCTTAACAAAATCAAATAGTGGAGGGAAGCTTCCTAAGGCGCTGGGAATCTCCTATGTCTAGCTAATAGGAAATGTCAATCATGTCTGCAATCCCTTCTCTCTCCTCTGGAATTTTGATTTTCTGATCTGAGCTGTGAGCAGACTGATACTCCTTTCACTCTTGGGACCCTCAGTCCCAAATGCTCTCCTGAAGGAAGCTTTACCAATTGCTCTTTATGCAGAACTCATTGTTTTATTTCAAAAATAAATCCAATGGAGGAGCCACATGTAATAGCTCGGTGGTTAGAAGCACTCCCTGAGGAGAGTGAAGGGGGACCCTGCTCTCTGCAGCCTGAGGGGGCATCAAATTAGCAGCTCCAGGAGCTGCTCCAGCCAGGGAGCCCAAGGGGTGCCTCCTTCCTCCCGCTCCCCTGAGCAGCGTGTGGCTGTGGAAAAGCCAGCACAGCTTCTGGGGCCAGCACTGCACAGACGGGTCTGGCTGCAGCTAGGAAGGGGTGACTGGCCATGATTTGTACTGCCAATTTGTTTTGCCTTCCTCACAAGGAGAATTTATACTACTACACCATTGTCCTGCTGTCCTACTCTCCAGCAAGAACCCCTGTAAATATATTTCCTATAGTAATAGTAAAACCTGATTCACCCTCTAGTATTGAGGAGAAAAAAGCAAAAAAGGTAGCAATCTCTCAACATTCCTCATATAATTCTTTTTATGTGCTATATATTAACTCTTGCAAAGACTGGTCTAACTACATTTCATCGTATTCTCTAAAATTCTTTGTTATGCGTTATGTCACATCATAGGTCACAGTAACTTTATTCCAGCTCAAGAACAGTAGATTCTAATATCAAATATTTTTTTCAAAGAAAAAGCAGATAATTAGTGGATAGGGTAAGCAGAATTTTTTTCTCTAGAGAATTCACTCCTCACAGATCTCTAATTAAAGCAGAAGAAATTGCATGATGTGCATATGCTGTTAAGCGTTAGCACAAGCAAACCTTGAAGAGGGCTGGTACAAAGTGATATAGGATATTTTACTTGCTTGTTTCTTAACACTTCATGCAGACAAGACCTCTACTTTTGCTTCAGCTGCTAATCAGCTTGTCTGGTTACTGGAATTTTTTTTTGTTGGCATTATTGATAATTATTTGCATTGCCCTGGTACTTAGGAGACTTATTTCCAAGCTGAAATTATGCTACTCCTGCCAAAAAGGCAGGCTCTGCTTCAGCAAGATTGCAATTTAAGGATACATCTGTACTGTACAGGAGACTGCTGCTCATGATAAAGTCATTTCATTTAAAGATATTTCAGATATTTTCTTTCTATTCTGAAGCTAGCTCCATAAATATTATGGAGATGGTGTGATAAGAGGCAACAGATACAGACATATGGGGAAATACAAGGGAAAAATGAGGTGATTTTGGTCACTGAGATTGATAGGGGTCAAAGCACATCCACATCATAATTGCTGTCAGCTGTTCACTAAAATTTATGGTCCCAAAGAAAAGGGTTTTAAGGAGGGAATGAAAAGAGGATGATAAAGTAGCTGTGTATATGGTAACAGAAAGCTTTTCCCCAGGATGAAGAGTAGGGGGAGAGGAAGTTCAGAAGATAAAACCAGTGAATAGTGAAGACTCAGGTGTGAAAAGGAGGGATATCGATGGTGGAGACAGGGTCTGGAGAAACTTAATGGTGAAAGCAATAAATTTCATAACAAATGTGGGAAAAGATGCAGAAAAAGGAAAAAATCAGTCCTTTAAAAGATTGAAGAAAGATGATAAAAAAATTATTGTAACAGCATTTTATATGGGACCAGACTCTTGTAAAACTTGGACTAAGACATCCTGCAGTACTACATTGTTTGTAGTTATTAAATATCCACAAAATTTAGATTCATAGTGACTTTGAAGTTATATTAAAACAGTGGCTGAAGCTATGTCTACAGACAGAAGAGATTGGCAGCTCAAGAAGATAATTCATCTTCTACTCTAAGAGAGCTCATGTGAATCTCCTTTTGACTAATAGACACAATCAGAATCTTTCTAAATACATTTTCAAATTACTTTGTTGAGTTACGGTTTTTATTCCATTTTTTTATGCACTGTCTCAGTTACATCCAGGCTTCCTTCTCTTCCTGTTCTCTAAAGGTTATGAAGTTAATTTATCAAAGTGGTTTTAAACATGAAGTGGTAATGAATATTTACACATGCTATGTCTGTCTTTGATGAGATAAAATGTGAGGATTTATTAAACAATTTTCCAATTAAAGATAGTCTACAAAGAACAAAAGATACATCATTGGGCAAAGTAAAGCAGCGCAAGTGAAGCTGTTAAAAGCTTATGAATTTTGGGAGTATTGACCTGTAATAATACACTACTTCTTAAAAACCCAGCACTGTTTTCTCAGACACTATTAACTTTTGGTATGCATTGCCCTTTCTAGGATTCTTGGTAGGTTTGTACCCCATGACGCAAATTCCTTAGGAGGCTCCATCCTAACATCTGTTGTAACCTGTGGATAGTTTATCACATAAAACTGTGCTTTCCTGCAGATCTGTAAGGCGTAGCATGCCACAGGAGGACAAGTAGAAAAATGGTGTTATTTTACCTGTGTCTGGGAAGAAGGGTGTTTTTTTTTGGTGGTGGCTGTCATCATGTACAGAGATGTCAAAACCTGAATAAGCAGTTTAACTTCCAAACAAGTTATTATGCTGGCCGCACAAAATCTAGGGAAAGCTGCTGTTGAGTCCTACATTATGTCTGGTTTATACTGAGCAAAATTCTCATATAGACAGAAATACATTGGACTCTTCAGTCCTCCCACTTGCAAGAAAACCTATGTCAATATTTCTGAAAACCAGTGGGCAAATTCACAGAAACACTGCCAAGTTGAAGAGCTTTTCCAATATTTTTTCTTTTGTTAGTCCATGGGTCCTGTATGTAAAGGATCTGTCATTTCTCTACATAACTACATTATATTCAGTTTAGCTGCTGGTAGGAATAGAAGAAAACAGGATCTCTCTTTGAACTACAAATTGCACTCATGTTCAAGAAAATGTTTACGTTACACAAGTATCAGATCAGATTTGCCTTGATCTAAAACATTTTCATAACATTTATCAAATGACAAAAAATTAATTTTGTCCTTGTTTTCCTTCAAATCCAGCAGTGTTCTTATTACTAAGAGGGCTGCAAGTGCTAGTTCAAATTCCCAAACCTTTGAAATAAATCCAACAAGTACAGTGAAAATTACTTATTTTTTAAGCATCACTAACACACTTATACAAGGGCTGATAGACATCTGTATATTTTAATGTTATGAGCAGGGACAAAACCCTGAATTTGTTATTCAAATAAAATAAGCTCTAAATGTAATCAGACTAGATTCAGCTTCAGGCTCAGCTTACCTGTAGGCACTTAAAATATCAAGGCATGTTACCTCATGCAGGAGAGTTCTTGCTCTACACCCACGTGTGAAGGCACAGGAACAGACACGGCTGAGGGGTTACCAGGCATTGACAACATCTTGCACGTTGCTGCTCCAACTCAACCCCAATAAAGCAGTATTATGCTTTTTATACTTCAAGACATGCTGTGTTGTCTCAGAAGATGATATGGCATGTCAAAAGGGAAGATCAACTGTGTTAGAAAGGAGCAAGAATTGTTTCAGCAAAATGAACACCCTCCAATTAGAATTTTTCTAAAATCAACTATTAGGGTTTTTTCCTCTTTTCTTTCACCTGCCTCATTTCAGTCAAAAAAGGCAAAATCTCAGTGCCAGCATCACACATACTGTCTGCAGCTGATGCAAATGAAACTAGTTTTTAGCTTTGGATAAAGGAAATATATCTTGACAAATAAGGTTTTTTGTCAACTGTGTATAAAACCTTTGATATATATTCACAAAACTGAGCTTGAATCTAGATACTCTATTCTCCTTAAGCAAATATGGTAGAGCACAAAATGAGGTTAACCTTTATAAGGGGTAATTTATAGTAGAATGAACTATTGACGTGATTTTACCTTCCAAAATATGAGGGTGATATCGGACTTTTGACTTCATGTGGCCAAAAAGAGCAAAATTGTTTCTACTGTTCCTGTCAGTGAGCTGCCAGCTGTCAGCCTATGTTTGAATTAAAGTAGTTATTAGTGCATAGATCCTAAAATGAATTGCTGCATTCAGAAATCTCTTATGGAGCAGGATTGATCCTTGCTGTAGGTTGAATCAAACAGAATAAACATCCACCCATGATTGAGTAACATTTTGACATTTCAGACAGAACATGTCCAGTCTGGTGAAATCTCAGCTGGGGTTTAAAGCCTGGTCCATGATGGCAGAGATTGTTGGCATCTTGAGTCAGGCAGCCCTCTGAATCCTGCTTCAGGATGGCTTTTCATCCATGGGATGATTTCAGGTTGCATCTATCATGCCAAGTTTTTACAGTAAATCTAAGAGGCAGTTGGGCCTCAAAATATTTCACTTCCACTTTCTTTAATAAATTGCCTTTAATTCATTAATATACTTAAGAATTAATAAATGTAAACATTATTTATATTAGTAATGATAATTAATTAATCAATTAAGTCATAAACAGGTATAATAGTAAAAATATGATTAATTTAGAACATAGTTACTGGAATGAATTTTGTAGTTTTTCATAAATATTAAACAAATGGGAATCATAACACATTTTAGAAAAAGTATTGGCAGGTAAATTCAAGAGGGGATTGTCTGCAACTTTACTCACTTCTGGCATTTTGGAAATTGTCTCTACTAATTATGTCACAATCTTTCAGGTTCTCCATGGAGATCTTAGTTGGCAGCAGAAAGATAAATATGTACCAGATAATATTATTCTAAATGAAAACTGCTGTCATTATAATTGAAGGAAATGTGAACACAGGCAAATTCAGCTCCCTGAAATTCAGAGCCATCACCTATTCAAGTCAATGGGTCAGCATTAATTTTAATTTAAGCTTCTATTCTGTACATAATGAAATTTTAAAAATCAACATAGAAAAAAGATTATATAGTTAAAGTTTTAAATCCAAAGAGATATATGCATCAGTCCAATCTCACACCATCCCTGCTGCCCCTCCCTACTCTGTCCATTCTCTTCCTGGAGAATGTACTCACTGCTGCCTTCAGTGCCATCACCCTGGCAACTGGATGGTCTTTGTACATAGTCCCACCCCAGACACATCTGCACCAGAGTTCAGATCAGTCCACAGCAATTGCTGACATGATACAGCCCCAGGAGTTCCTGAACAGAAGCTGACATCCCACAGCACCTTGAGGGAACTTAAGAATAAACTGTTTTCCACCTCTTGCACTTACAGATTCACACAAACCTTCTATCCTCATGTTGAGAGAGAAATGTAATAATCAGGTCAGTTAACCTTTGATTGTTTGTGAGACTAGCTCTTGGAAAACATTACCTCTTCTAGTCATCACTACATTGCTCAAGAAATACAGCCCATATCTAAAAAGTGTATACAAGGAGGCTCAATCCAGAACTTGTCCCAGCTGTATGGGATGAATGTTGGTTGATGAAGTTATATGCACAAATGCATGACTTGGGAGCTTGGGGGTTGGTGTTTATGTTCATTTCTTAACACACAGCAAGGATCCTTTGCCATAAGAAGAAAAATCATCTTGTACAGCAATATTTGTCTCTGATTTCTAATTCTGACACAGACCTCCAGTAGAAGCATGGACAAATTCATTGACTCTGCCTCAGTAGCTTGTTTTTAGACCAGAGGCTGTTTTTCCTTGCTTCTGAAGGAGTAAATCTTTCAAAGCTGTGCTATAGCTGTGGGAGAGCCAAAGGAGGTAGAACATCCCACATTTACTTTTCAGAACAAAGTAAATTAGCCAGGATGCAACTTGCAGATAGAATAACAGACTCATTTAGGTTGGAAAAGACCTCTGAGGTCATGGAATCTACCCAGCACTGCCACGTCCACCACCAAACCACATCCTCAGGTGCCACATCTACACATCTTCTAAATACCTCCAGGGTTGGTGACTCAGCCACTTCCCTGGGCAGCCTGTTCCAATGCTGGAAAACCATTTTAGTGTTGCAGCTAGAGTGATCCTAATTCCTGCTTAAGGAGAAACTCAGTATTGTCTACAGAGTGCTCTATATTCACCAACATTGCTGCACGAGCTGCAGAAGCAGCAAACCTGTCCTGCTAACAGCTCCTCTCTGGCTGGCTGTTTGCTTGTTCCCAGCATATACAACACCCATGTGTTTACATTGCTTACAAGCAGGGACGACCAACCCCCAGGCAGCAGCAGTGCAGCCAAATCCATTGAGTTCAATGGAAATATTTCTGTTCAGGTCAGCAAACACAGGGTCAGACTCTCTTACATTCAAATGAACAATTAACAAGCAAAGAATAAACTGACACGTGCTCCTGAAGACTTCAAGAAGAATGAGGAAGCTTCTCTTACAGCTCAATTATAAAAGGTTAAAAGCTTAGGACATCTGATTATAGGACTTCTAAGCCTCATTGATCTAGGACATACTTGCACATTAAGCAATGAGAAATATTTTAATTGATCATCCTGAATAGCCATGAAGTGTAAGGCTGAGCCAGCTGGGCACTGAGCACTGTCCAGGCTGAAAATCAGTAATCACAAGTTACCTCTAATTTAACTGGACTTGGGGTCTTTTTTGGTCCTGCACTTAACTTGCACATGCTGTGTTTATTCCTATCTGCCAAAAGTCTTAGCTCCTCTGCAGACTAGCAGCTTGATCTCAACATTAACCATTCCAAATTCAGACAATGCAAAATCAATTTTGCAACCAACACTTGCCAAGACACAGAATATGTTTGTGTCAGCTTTTTGAGTTACCTTTTTTTGCCCATTGCCCTGTTTCCAACAGTGAGTGGCTCAGCATTTTTTTAAGGTAGGAGGGTTTTTTCACTTTGTGTTAGTACAATATCTTTGATGCAGGTATCTTCAAATGTTTTACAACCATGCAGTAACCTTACTGCATATCATGGCGGTTGCATATTCGTTTATCTGTATAGCTAAATTTACACACATTATATAAAATCCATATAGCTCATACACACATTCACATATGTAAAACAATACAAGTATTAGCATACATTTTGCATTATATGATTATACAATGCTACATGTGGTTGCCAGCTAGGCAAATATCTTACTGCATGATTTCCTTGACGGAATATGTATTCCCTCAAGGAAATTATGGAGTAAGATATTTAGGTGGTTGTAAAATATGTGAGCATTTCTGAGTCAAAGATTCTGCATATACAAAATCATTGTATATACAATCATCATTGTCTCTACTCATGTCTGGATGAACTATAGCACATAGCAAATTCTCAGGATCATTCAACAAATCATGAGCACAATTGGGAATAGACAGCCCTACCCATGAGATACAATTTATTTTCAGTGCTGTGTATTGAGAAATGGAAGACATTAGAGAGAGTACTGATGCACCAGTGCTAAACAAAACAGCGTTTCTTTCTTCCCTGACTTCCTCATTTTTTGGCAGAAGCAATTTTACTTTTGAACATTTATATTCTTCTTGTAATATAGTGCTTCAAAACAAGAGTGTCAGAAAGTTAAAGAGCAGGAAGATCAATGAAGCTTTTTAAATGGTTTCTAAAAATGTGATAAACCTTTCTTCTAGTTTCTTCTATAATAAGCACAGTGTTTAGCAAAGTAGTTAAAGCAATTTGGGACTCCTGCAAATCTGACTTAAGCTGTTCTAGTATCAATATGGAGAGGAACCTTGAAGAATACGATGCCCTTTTGTTAGCAACTTTGGCTGTAGCTGATTTACTCTCAACCAACAAGTATGTTCTAAGGCACTCAAGGTATTTCTCTTTTGTCTGATTAAACCACAGGTAAGAAAACATATAATTAAAATAGTTCTAGCCTATGATTCATAATCAATATTTAGTAGGGTAGCACAGAGATTTCTAAGGCTAAGTCAGGGATATATGATGCTTTCTTAACAGAATGTTAGTGCACACTAAAAGAAAAAAGTATTATCACATGTTGGTGGCCAGGGAATTACCAATCCTCTGCATTACTTGCTCCTCACAATGTTAGCACCATGGTTTTCCAGCAGTCTTTTGGTCGCTGCATGCACAGATGTTCCTAAATACAGTTAAATTAACACTGCTTGCAGTCCATGTCACGTGGTCTCCATAACATCAAATCACTTAAGCAGTATGAATTGGTTAACATATTTTATGACTGAGCCATATTAATGAGTATTAAGCATATTTTAACAAAATCAAAGAAAACCAGCCCAATATGTTAGATTTAATAGGTAACTTGGAAAACTAAATGCTTTTTTTCCTGCTTGAAAATAAGAGTCATCTGGTTTTTTGTTACTGTGTGAATATGAATATTCTGATGAAACTGGTGTAGCTCTTGCTTTCTGTTGCTCTCTGTTACTCAGTGTTTTCAGAGCTTGGGAACAGATGGTGCACCACCTGACTCTGCACACTCTAATGTAAGATTCATTGTGCTTCACAGGAAATCAAAGATCAAGCAACATTGCAGAAGGTGAAGCAGCACCTCAGCAACCAGCAACACAGTATGATATAGTCAAGTGATGGAGCAAGAAAGCAGAATGAGAGAA